GATCACAATATCATCGCCTTGGCTTTTAGGTACTTCTATATTGCATTTACTTTCAGCGCGAATACGACTAATAGTCGCACCATTTCGACCAATAATGTGACGATGGTATTGTTGAGGAACAGTGATATATCCTGTATGAGTAACGTTAACCTGTTATAAATAAAAAAATATAAATAATTATAATTAGAATATAGAAAGAAATTTAATATGTATCTTACAAGATCTTACCGCTTCTTCCAATAACTCTTTTATACATAACTCTGCCTTTTCGACTTGCGATTTCTCCCCTTTCAAATTCCAAGGAATATCCCCATCCACTACTTCATTTTCAACAATTTCACACTCCAATTCTTCATCTTTTACTTGAGAATTATCATCATCAATTCTTTTTGTTGAAACCACATTTCCGTTGAGTTTTTTGGGTTGAGAGTCAATTTTTTCAGGCGATACTTCGCCATGATCAACAATGACATTAAATTCGTTTCGAAGTTTTCGTACATGTGTAAGAATAGCTCTGTGAAATTTACGTGGTACATTCACAGTATGAGTATATTTCATCCTAGATAAAATATCCGCTTTAGCGGCTTCAATATTTTCCGCTTTACCAATAATTTTGACTGCTTCTTCACTATTTTCAATTTCATCACTCAAAATTTCCGCAGCAGGAGTTTCATGGTATGATCGTGAACCGGGAACTTGAATTTCAACATTATAACGAGTTTGAAGTTCTCTGAGTTGACTAGCATTACGACCGATTAATATTGAGTATTGAGTACGTGGAATTTGTACCATGCCAACTTTTAAGTTACTTTGTTCTTTAACCAACCTTTCTAACTCAATTTTAACTTTTTCAACGAGATTTTTATCTCCTTTGAGAATCACTTCGTCACTATTATCACCATAGCGAGGGAACTTTACAATACTAGCATGGCCGCTTTTTTCTTCCATTTCACTTGCTTTTGAAACAATCTCACGAATACGACTTCCACCTGAACCAATTAAATATTTGTGATGTTGAGGATCTATATGCATAGTAATAATAATCTGGTCTTCAAGTTCCTTTACAATATTAAGAATTTTTTCTTGAGCTTTACAAATATCAGACTTAGTTCCATGAATAACAACATTCACTACTTGTTGTTCTGAGCCGTCTTCCGGAATTTCTGGCTGACCTAGATCAATACGTGTGAAGGTATCTGTCTTTATATCTGATATTCTAGAACCGCCTTTACCGACAATATGGGGGAGATATTTAGCAGGAATTTTGAAGTTGATAGAATTATCATGATCCCTTTCATAATCTAGTAATTCCAACAATTCTATCTTTGCATCATGTACTCCTCTTTTTCCACCTTTTATAGTAACTTCGTCAGGGTTTTGAACGCATGTACCTTCTTCACATTCTCCATTAATTCTTGGAAAACGAATTTGTACTCCATATTTTTCTTCGAGACGTTTCACATAACGACCTTTTGTGCCAATCAATGACCTATGGTATTCGGCAGGAACTATTAAAGGAATCATAGTAGCATCTTGCAACTTATCTATCAAATCCAATATTTTTACTTTGGCCTCTTCCACATTGTTCTTCACTCCTGTAATCGTAACTTTAACATTTTCGCTCGGATTGGTTTTTTTTTCTTCCCCTTTGGCGCCACCTTCAATATCAATCCTAACATTTAAATTTTCCTTTAGGCGGTTTACATGCGCACCTCCTTTACCAATAACATGAGCAGAAAATTGAGCAGGAAAGGTGAATTCCTCGGTATATGATTTCATGATCTAACGTAATTGAAATGAAATCAAGCACTTATATAGTTGAGCTTAAGTGAAGATAAAAGTATATTATTTACCTCGACATGTTTAGCATTTTCGACTACATGATTAATTTGATTTACAACTCTATCAACTTCATCAGTTGGGCCTTTAATAATAACAATATCATCAGAAATTGGCACATTAACTAGCCGTTTACCTTCAGCATTAGCTGAACGTTCTGCTGCACCAGTTCGAGATGATCCAAATTTAACAGAAACAGGTGCATCAATGCCTCCAGTAATCCCATTGAGCGTGCTACCTTTTGGCCCAATAATATATCGATGAAATCTTACTGGGATGGTGAGAGATTGTGTAGCAAAATCTGACTATAAAAAAGATTTTAAGTGTCATGTGAAAATAAATAAATATTTAGCACTTTATTAATTTGACCTGACATATACAATTATGGACCAACTATTATATGGGTCGTTTTCTATGAAAATCAAGTTACGAACATAGTAAATCATATGATCCATAACATGATTTTAATAGCAAACCTCCCATATAGTATTATCCCTAATAAAAATGTATAATATTTGCTGGTGTAAATGACATTATTTAGAATTAATTTACTTACAGCATCCTGACCCGCCTTTACTAGTTCGGCTTTAGCTTTTTCTAAAACATCATTAATATAAGCCTCCTTTTCTTTCATATTGGAAGGAATTTCTTCACGTTTTCCCTCGAAGACAATTAATATATCCGGACTATCATCTTTTTCGTCAGGAACAATGATCTCAACACCATATGTATCTTTTACTCGCTGGAGATTTTGCCCTTTACGACCAATTATATGTCGATGAAGATGAGGTTCGATAGAAGCAATCGCGAAACAACTTGGAGACTACAGAAAGTAACATTATAAACTGAATTCAAATAATCCTAATCATCATATACTTTGTAATTTAATACAATATATGATTAATAGAAAACAATTAAAAGAAAATTTTATACTTTTAAAAGAAATAACGCTTACCAAATCCTCAACTATTTCACGAACTTCTTTTCGTGCATTGTCCACTTCTTTTCCTACTTCTGTTTGAGCATTTTCCACTTCTTTAGAAATCTTACCAACGAATTCTAAAACAACAGCCTTTTCTAAAGGTCCTTTTGGTACAATAATTTGAATGCCTGTATCGCTTTCAATCTTTTTCAACTTATTTCTATTCCACAAATACTTTAATATTTTTTTAGCATGCTCCAATGGTTGATCGGTCTTGTGAAGATAAGAAATGTCCAAAGTTTTAACATGAATTGAACTGGTTTTATCGTATACGGCTTGCAATGCTGCAGAAATTTGACTCTGTGGCCCTCGGATTATAACTTTCTCAGAAGGGTCTGATGGTGGTGTGAGTTCCAATGAACAACCGGTTTTTTCGAGAATCTCCTGAAGGTTGGATCCTTTTTGTCCAATTAGAAACTTATGTTGACATTTTGGAATGCTAGTTTCCACAACAGTAGTATTACTTTTCTAATTAGATGGTTCATTAATTTTTTTTTTTTTAAAAAAAAAGGTAAATAATAACTTTTTTATAATGAAGAAAAGATTTAGAAGAAATAAAAATGACAATTTACCAATTCCTCGTAAATTTCTTCAATTTTATCCGATGCCTTTTTAATAGCCTCTCTTTCTCCGAAAATAACAATGGCATCCCTTGAAGAATGTTCATCGGTTGATTCCGTAGAAGCAAAATAAGGAGGAACGTTTATTTTAGCACCAGTTTCGTGACTTATTTGATTAATACGCGAATTATGAGCACCCGAAATAAGTGGATAATACTGATGCTCGATATTAGTAATTTTATGACGTTTTGTCGTCTAAAAAAAAGGGCAAAGCAAATATTATGAGATATGAATAAATAATAATGCATGAAAAAGGTGATTAATAAATAATATACGTTACCTTGTTATTTATTACAATGGCGTCGATTTCTTCTATGGCTAAGCTAATACCTTTCGCATCACCTTCCAATTTAACGTCCATCATTTCTTCTTCATCATCATAATCAAGTTCAGATCTTTCTTCAATATGATTCTCTTGGCGAGGCGGAAGCTGAATCCTAACACGAGTTTTTGAAGTAATCGATTGTAAAGTTTGGCCACGCGTTCCAATAATATTGCGTCGAACGGAAATTGGAACTTTAATAATTTTTTCGATCTATAAAAATTACATCGTTTGAAATTAAAATAATCCTTTCGTTAATCATTTGAATATAACACATTAAAAAAGTTTTTTTGATAACTAGAGGTAACAATGGAAAAGGGAATCGCTAACCTTAACAGCCAAATTATCAAGCAAGTCACGTTTGGCTCTCTTAACATCTTCGTGTTTCCCTTTGATTATGAAGGTTGTATTGCCAGTTTTTTGTCCTGTCGAGACTTCAATATTTGTGTTAGTCTTATCTTTAACGCGTTTAACGACGTCGACGGTTGTGATTTTATTGCCAAACTCCTTCTTTTGCAAATGTTGATTTTGCAACTGTTGGGAAGCAGGCAATTCAAGAAGTTCTGTCACGTTAATTGGTTTTTTAACCGAAGGATTTACTTGACGATGGGTCGTTGACATAGAAGTTGCTTCTTCATCAGTTGCTGAATTTTGATGTTCGCCAACTAAACTTAGAGCTACTCCTGAACGAACAGCAGCAGCACCAGACTTAATACCCCATAAAGAGGGTTTTGTACTTGTATTGGTTGATGCCGATAAAGACGGGAAATTCGAATCATATGATGCAGAAGTTAAATCGGTATTTTTGGTAGTAGACGAATGCTCAGTTTTAGTTGTGGCTTCATTTAGAGTATGGATTTCTTCATGCTCTTCATGAACTCTTAAAAGTTGTTGAGCAGGTTGTGTCACAAAAGTGTTGCATTCAGTACATTCAGAGTTCGACATGGTGGAATAAAATCAGTTTCGGGATTGATCCGTTGTTTGGCGACCAGTGAAATAGACAGAGGCGAGGGGAGTGGCTTGTTTTCCGAAGCCAGCGTTGCAGGTTAGAGTGTTCCAGAAGGCAATCTTACAATTGACAAACTATATTGAGGATTTTATACCCTGGGGATTACTACCAAGATGATGAGAAACGCTTACCAGTTATTTTTAAATGTATGTAAGTTCATATAGCATCTGGTGAGTCTTGGGAAATTTTATTTTGCGTTCATCTATCCCACATGATTGATGCATATGTATGGCTATAATCGGTCCAATCACAAATTCGAAAACTCGACGCAGGACTGTTGCGTCAATTGCTAAGGTTGTACAGATTCTGATTGGGTAATGGATTTCAGTGACACAGTCACTCTCGCATAAAAAAGTGTGCAATTCATTTTATCAACTCCATTTTTACCAAAGACGAAGCGTTTATACAAAAATTGCTCAAGGGCTCTTTATAAGTTTCAATACTGTTCTATATACCTAACTCTAGAGCTTTCTAGCTTATTGCAAAGCAATATGAATAGTCAAGAACGAGCTTCAAATTCAAAGATAAGCGGGTTGGTAAGTTTCATTCAAATAATTGAACTTATTTTATGTATTAAATGATCACTTATTTGTTTCATTCTTGCTTTGTTCATTTTGATAGCAATTCTTAAAAGCTGACCCCAAGATGCGCGTAAGTTTTACGTAGTTAATACATTGGTCTGGTACTTTCGTTTGTTTGTGTAAGAATATTATTTACAATTCTGGTTCAGTACTTAGTGGAAGCTATCGAGAAAAATCGGGGCGCAAGTAGGATGATGGACGAAGAGATAGTTAGTACTTTAACTGAAATTAGAAGTTTGGGTTCAAAATATGTATGTTTTTCGATTACTATTGTCATCATTATTTGTTATATGAAAATAACTTAATAGAAATTTCAACGTTCTTTTTAACCTTTTAAACTTTTGAAGGCCGACCCGAATCTTGTAGGTCGAGCTGAATTATATGAGGCGATAGAAAGTGTTTTAAACGCCTTGAAAGCATATTCAGTAAGTTATGAAGTTTTTACTGAGTAAAGAATTACGTGTGGCACATTTTTTAAAATATTATAATCATTATAGGAGTACTCATTGCCGTTCCTGAAAAAAGTCTCATCTAAAGAGGCCCCGGACTATAATAAAAGTAAATTTTTTGATTTCTTTTTTCATATTTCGTCGCTTTCTGTTATTAAGTTATTTTGGCCAACATGATCTTTATTAAACTTAGTAATCAAACGTCCAATGGATCTGAATCAAGTGACAAAAAACTTCAAGAGTGGACTGTACAATTCCAAAAAAGAGTTTGCTGATGATCTTTATCTGATCTATACTAACTGCTTCGCCTACAACACAGATCCAGCAAGTTCTTTAATAACTTCCTCTTTATTTTTTTGAGGTCAAAATTTAAATTTCCTTTTTCTATTTATCAGGATAATTACTATAGGAAATGTGCCAATGCCATGAAAATAAAAACTGATGAATTACTCAAGAACGTTCCTGATATTGTCATTAAAACTCGAGAAAAGTATAACGAGGAAATGAAAAAGAAAGCGGAAGAGGAAATGATGAAGAAGACCGCCGCAGATGCCGCGGCAATTGTTGCACAAGTGCATCAAGAAATTGCCGCAGAAGAAAGTAATACTAATTACTTATTAAATAATTTTATAGAATTATGATATAATTTTTCATTCCTAATAATGTTAAATATAGAGCCCGAAATGAATCAACAACCATATCTAATCCAAGAGCAAGCCTCGACAGATGCTCTGCAAGATCCTGTTACTTGTTCTGGTGAAATTAATGACGATGAGTGTGACAGGGAATTGCAAGAAATGCTAAAGGGGTTGGACGTCCCTCTTTCATGGTGGGATCCAGAAATAGATAATCCCGATCGTGGCAGATTGTTTGATCCTGAGTACTGGAAGGAGTTAGTAAAAATCTTACTTTATATATGTGTGTGTGTGTTTTTTTTTGTTGGGATATTTTAATACGTTATCATAAAAATAAATTTAATTAATTATATAGGCAAGAGACCAAACGGCCAACGCTCGATCAATACCCGCAACTTCAATTCTCGAACCGTGGCACTGCTGCGATGATCGAGCATAATATAGAGACGCTTAAGCAAACGCGTCTCCTTCACGCGAAACTGCTAGCGGCAAAACATAACTTGCCGGTAAGTTAATTGGTCGTCAATATGATTCAAAGTAAATATTGACAAATATTTTTTTTTTAAAAAAACAACCTCCAGCTTAGTCATTTTGGTGTGAATGAAACTGCGCCATCTGAAAAAGTAACAAATTGTCGGACACAAATAGACCCAAATAGCTCACCGCCACTCGTGATGAATCGCGAAGCTGGGTTTGCATGCATGCAACGAGTCGTTGTGAAATTGCTACAACATGCAGGCTTTGAAAGCATGTTAATTAACATTGTTTGAATTTTGATCAATTTTTATTAATTTTAAACAGCTAGTCATTAACAATTGATGATTATATCTTTTCATTATGCGTAGGTGGCTCGTCGATGGCCGTTAATATATTAACTGAAGTAGCCCAGGATTATTTATTAAGTCTAGGAAAGACGATGAGGGCCTACAGAGATGATGTATTTAACAAAAAATCACCCGAGGTAATTAATTATTATAATTCGTCAAAGTTTTCTGTTTTATTAATGATGTATTTAATCACTTTATTAAGGAAATTATTAAAAAGACTTTGTATGAGAATGGCGCGACATCCTTTAAAGATCTTGAATCATATGTTCGAGATGACATTGTGCGGTATGGTAGCAAACTAAAAGAAATACAACGTCGTTTGGTGAATGCATATAAAGATTCTTTGATTGTAAATATATTTTATATTTGATCATTATTTCTTTCATTATGTACTAATCTTTTAACAACAATAGCAACCCGATAATACGGAGGCTGAAGAAGACTTGCCAGAAAATGATGATGTATTTATCACTGGCAATTTAGGCGAGGGTATCGAATTAGGGGACGATTTCTTTGGATTAAAAGAACTCGGATTAGGGAACCTTTCAGTTCCTACTAGGTTGTTGCTTGGATCTAATAAAATTAAGCCCGCTCAGAAAAAGACGCCAGAGCAAAACCAAAGAAGTAAGTTGAATAGTGAAGGAATTAATTTAAATAAGATTTTTAATAAAATATTGATTAAACATACAGAGTCTCGGTATACTCCTCCTCCACCATTCGCGCCCATTGATCCCGATAAACAAATAGGGTTGCTTACAGAGTATTTCCGCAATCGATTGGAAGATCAAAGTGGTAAATTAATTGATGTAAGTAATCACGTGTTCGTTTCCTTGATAATATAAATTGGTATGTTTTATAAGATTTATGAGTTAATACTTGATTATTAGGATGAGTTTCTGCCACCGAAACAAAGGAATCAAAGACCAAAGGTTCCCCCCACTGGCAAGATTCCCCCACAACCTAAGAGACAGCCACCTAAGACTGCGGCGCAGAACGCGGCCGCTCTTGCAGAGAAGAAGCGGAAAAGAGAGAGGGATGCCGCCATTGCAGAAGAGAAGGAAAAGGCTAAACGCATCAGATTAGAAGAACGCCTAAAAGCTCAACAAGAAAGAGAGGAACAAAAACGTATAAAGCAAGAACAACGCGAAGCAAAGAAAAAGGCCGAAGCGGAAGAAAAAAGATTAAAGAAACTTCAAGCGGAAGCCGAAAAGAAAGCTGAACGTGAGAAAAGAACAGCTGAAGCAGCGGCTCAAAGAGCCGAAGCAAGGAAAATAGCCGAAAAGAAGGAATCAAAGAAGAAGAAACCCACAACTTCTAAAATGAATCGGGCTCCCGCTACCTCTAGTTCACAACAAGTGAGAGGTGGATCTGCATCAAGTACAATGGCTGGATCATCATCAGCTTCGAAGAAAATTTTAGATCAAATTGACGATAGTGATTCCGAAGATGTTCCTCTTGCTGTTAGAAAGAAAACCAGAACTAAAGAAGCGGCAATCAGTAATGCGCGTGGTGGTAATGGGCGCGGTAATAGCAGACCGCCTAATATAAATTGATTTTCAAAAACGCGACATAAAAAATATTGTAACATTTTGCCTTTATTGTTGTAAATATTGTTACAAGAAAGTAGTTATAATCTACAATAATGGCAAACATCAATTAATGTTTTCGTGAATTTTTCAAACTTTAAAAAGACTTTAAATTACTAACTTAACAGTATACCTTACTTATACAGGAGGAGATTCGATATAAATTACAAGATAACGTGTAAACAAACGTGAATTTTTTATTATAAATTTGTTTAATATTTATTGTTGATTAATCGAAAAAAAGGAAAAAAAAAAATAATAATTCTATATATATCATTTTATTTACAAAAATTGTTTTTCTTAAATTGTTCAAAATTTAGGAAAATTATAATAATAATAATTTTTTTTTTCAAATATGTATATGGGGATTTACTTTATTTTATATATATATATATATTATATTTTTGGAGGGTTTTTTTTTCATCTTTTATATATTATATATTTATATAGATGCGTATGTAATGCTTGGTATTATTTGAGAAAAATACTATATTATATATATATAACTATAAATCACCGATTTCATAATCACTTATTTCATAATCACCTGATTCTTCAAATAAAACAACTTTTACGAAATTACCATATGCAGCCGCAACACCATAATCACCAATTTTAACTACTTGTCTAACATGAACAAAAGGTAAAATTTCATTCATTTCATCTTCCTCGTCTAACAATGATAACTGTCTTTCATTGTTTACATTATTTGGATATACTCGGTGTATTACACTACCACGTCTTCTTTGACTTTTTTGTCGATAATCAACTACTTGACCTTGTGTATCTTCTATTTCATGATCATCATGATGATGATGATCGTGATGGTCATGTTGATGCATGTTTGAAGGTAACGATATCGGGAATGAAGGTCCAAAAGTTGGTCCGACCACTTTATTAGTTGTGGTGTGATTTCTTCTTCTTCTAACAAAACCTGTTAATTCCCCAGTACTTTCTTTATCTCTTCGTTTAAGTGCTTCTTTTTTCTTTTTTTGTTGTTGTTCTGTAAATAAATCTGATTCACTAACTAAAGGAATAGTTCGCACTAATAACTCAACTACATCAACTTCGTTGTCAGAGTTGTCTTGCTCTTCTTGAGTGGGTTCGATAACCTTTGGGTCATTAATTTCCAACATCCACATTTCCCATTCTCCTTCTGCTCCATGACATCTTGGTATTCCATGTTTTGATGCTAATGAATGTTTAACCTTCCTTGCTCCAATAACATTTTCTCTTAATAATACAATTGCCGTTCCGCCAGGTTGGTAAACTCTTCCAATAAACTTCGATTGATAAGAGACGACACCATCCCATTCGGCTACATCTTTTTGTTGAAGGCGTCCAACGGGAGCATCTTTTGTAACATTATTTTGCAAATTATTTTCTACTCGTAATGTCATACATGTACAATCCATAACATTTCTAACTAAATGCCATACGTGTACTTTTTCGTCAGCAGAAGAGGTGACTATTGAAAACCCTCCATATTCTGTATTACCACAAGGACAACTTTCTTGTTTTAGTAAATTAATTATTATGTTAGAAATTGAATCATGATGTGATAATTCATCCTCATCGTCATCTGTATCTTCAGTTTCATCATATTCATAATCATCAAAATCATCATCATATAAATCTGAATCAGAGGATGAATTATTATTATTATTATATATATTACTTTTTTGCAATTCAAATTGTCTCATTTGTTTTTGTTGATGAATTAATAATCTTTTTTGTAATAATTGTTGTTCTCTTTCTTTTTCACGTCTTTGCTTAGATATTGTACCTCGACTTAATATAGCTATAAGTTTACCATTAAGGTAATCGTAAACTCTCACTTCTCCATCTAACGCACCCGTAATGACCACCCCATAAGTATTATTCACAGTTTTTACCACCTTAGTAGCTATACACGTTATAGCATTTCCTGTTTCACCGGGTATTGTGTAAATTGACTTCCATCGACTTTTGAGAAGTCCATAAGGATCAGTAGTAATTGTCGATTCATTCTCGGAATAATAAACTTTTCGAACCCAACATTTAACAGATCCATCACGTGCACCCGTGAAAATATACAAGTCCTCTTGATTATAGTCTAATTCACCATCATCTACTACACAAAGTTGACTTATACCACCTTTCTGATTAGTAGATATTGTATGAACAATCTGTCCCGAAAATAGATCCCACTCCCGAAAATATCCATTACGATAAGTGGCAAGTAGAATAGCCGGGGCTTGCTGGATTGATATTGGTCTGGTCGTTAAATTCATATAATTTTGCTCGTAGGTAGGTGTCGTAGGTATTGAAGATGAAGAAGTTGGAACGACAAATTGTAAACAGGTAACTCGTTCTTTCGCTGTATGTCCGCTCACTGCAGACATAACTGATTCTACATCTTCAACAGTGTCCTTTAAAATATACGTAGCCTGTCCAGAATTAATATCCCAAACTCTCACAACACCATCTTCAAATCCAGCAGCAGCAAGTTCAACCTTTTCACTCATACACATAGCTCTAACTGGCCATGATATACATTTCTTCATTCCTCCGGTGACACCACACTTACATGAGTCGCATTTACGCATATACCTCTCAAGCTTTTTCATTGAAACGCCTTGTTTTCCATCCCATGAAGTGATATGTTTATCCGTAGCAGTTGAAATAATCATACCATTAGGGTTAGCACAAAGCAAGCTAACATCGGCAGAATGACGTCCGCGCAGAGTAACAACTCGATAATTGATAAGGGAAGTCAACGAAGCTACCTTGTTAGCGAAACTACCACCATTAAAAGTTTCGCCTTTTTCAATTTGATCCGAAGAGACCAAACACCGCACCAAGGCTGAAGTCGCATGATAAATTCCAAGCGCAGGAAGGATGATAAACTTCAAAGCGAAAATAAAATGTTTGATCATTGATCTAATAAATAATTTTAATCCTAATAATTCCGTTGATTCTGTTGATTTTGTTGACTCAACTAGATTATTTAGTTGTTCCAATGTCCACAAAAGTGTTAATTTTCTTGGATTTCTTATTTCAAAATACCGATTAATTCTTTTCGGATTTACAACATTCCAGAAAGCCTCAGCATAAACAGCAGTCGAAGTTTCATAAAAAGTATTCGTGGTAATGATGTTTTCGGCAGCACTTTGATTTGAACCGCTAATAATATTTTTAATTGAAGATAAAATACTTGTCAAATCTCCATTTTCCTGATATAAACTAGTCGCTGATGCAATGAGAATAAGAATCTTTTTTTTTTTTAAAAAAAAAAGAAAGAAAGAAAAAAAGCAAAGAAGATTTTATTTTTGAGCGTCATATATATATATAAAAATATATATATACATAATGATTTCAATAATATTCATAATATTATTAACTTACTATTAAGGAAATCGCGATTCTCCCATTGCTAAAATTATTGGAGAATTTCGAAAGTGTTTTCCTTCCCATCCCGTTAGGTAATTTGGAATTACGGGTTTTAAGAGTCTTAGTAGGTGTCAGCGGTGTACTAACTCTTCGATTATATAAATCAGAAATCTAAATAATAGTATTATTTTATTATAAAACCAAAAATTTAAATAATTTGTGTAAATAATTCGCTTTTGGAATACAATGTTAATAAGACAAGCAATAACGAATTTCATGTTAAAATCATAAATCATAATATTAAAATAAAATACCTCTAATCTTCGAAGATCGATAGATAATGTGGTGATGAAAAATGACATCTGAAGAAAATAATCAATAATCATTGCAACAGATGTGAAAATACAAAATTCTTGAACAGAATTAATATTTGTCACCGAACAAATCACCGCCACCAAGAAAATTCCAGAAAATAAAGCTTTTGTCATTGAGACTCCAACTTTTTCAAGACCTTTTCCAACACGCTCTTTAACATCTAACTCCATTGAAGTTGAGGTAACGGCATTAGTCAAAACAAACATGTTCTCAACGCCAACAATTACAAGAACAAAGGGCAACAACTTCCTATTATAAAAAAAAAGAGTAAGCTTATTTTAAAAAAAAAGTTTAAATATAAATAAATTAAAAAAAAAGGTATCTTGAAAAATTACCATGACACAAGTGTTAATGTGACACCAAAAAGAGAACAAACGCTAAGTGAGATGACCAAAGAGACAAATACTTGGACCACAGTTGAAAATGCCAAACCAAATTTTGACTTTACAGAATTAAGTCGTCCAAGAGAAAGTGAAATGTAAAGAAATACAACTAAATATTCAAAAGCGAGAATGATGAATTCAGCCGGAAACTCCGTATTGCGATTAAACTATCAAATATACGTGTGTGTTAAAAATCAACAATTTAACAATTTAACAATTTAGTTATTTCCTTAATATAAATAAACACGTACGTCAAATACTATGTGGGTTGAGGTATCTTTAAAATCTACATCGAAAGCTTTAATGCGTTCACCAACGATGTGACAAGTATCATTTGCATCCATCACTTGATTCCAAAGTGTATCCCAAATAGCTAAAGTTTGATCTTCAGCACATTCGCCCATACCATCTAAATAGTAAGTTAAAATAATTGAATCTGCGCTAACAATTCTTCCAGTTGATTTATCATATACAGGGTTGCCAAAAACGGATTCCAAGGGAATGGGTATCTTAAATGAAGAAACTTCGTTTGCTTCTGAAAGAGTTTTTGAAATATCACTATCATTCAAAAGTAACTCTGCGTCGTAGTTCCAAAATTCAATAGGCGAATGAACTAAGCAACGACTTTCACCGTTTGGTTTAAAACATAAACTAGAAAGAGTATATTTTTCAGGTTCTTGACGTGAAATAAGTGGTGAAGTTTTATTCGGTGGATATATTACTACAGTATTTGAAAGTCTTTCTTGCAATTGAAGTGTCCACAGAAACAAATTTTTTTCCAAAACATTTGTTCCATCAGTAGGTTGATAGTTATTGTTATCTCTAAAACCATCAGATTTAATTATAATACTTTCTACGTGTAAAGAAGGTTGAGAACCGCATTTTTGTTGAAAGCTAGATTTTGAAATTGGTACACGAGATGAAGGCAATTCCCAATAAAAAGTTGGAACGTCACTAACAGGATTTAGATAATAAGCATTGAGGGCAGGATAACATAAAGGCAAAACTATAAAAATTGCCGTTACTATAACGTAAACCTGGTGAGTTGCGCAAAACTTCGCATGACGATAAAATATTTGAGACACACTCTGCTTCTTTAATTCGAGATATGTGAAGACGGCCATGATGCCGTTAATATATTAAAGTCGTTACCTTATATAATAATAATGGATGAACAGATTTTTTATTTATTTAGTGTAAATAAAAAAGAGCGATTATACATTACAGAAGATACGAGAAAAAAAAATATTTTTTTTTTCTAGAGTATTTATAAATTTTATAACAAATAGTGATGATTGTTTCGATTGGAAGTTGGGAAGTAAGATTAATAATGATAAGTAGGGAAGTGGGAAAAAAAACTATAAAAGGTATTTAGGCGTTGATGGAATTTCAGATTAGCCAAATTTCCAAATTAGGTAACATTTTTTTACTAAACCACGTTTATTTGATTCTTTTTTTCTCACCCTTCGCTAAAAGTTAGACTCACCTGAGTTGCGCTTGTCTCGAAATGTTTATATTAATATTTATAATTTCAAAAATATTGAATTTACACAACTTCGGGAATTTTACAAAAATAGTAATATAAAAAAGATAAAGGAATGTTTATTTGATTATGTTACCAGAAAAAAAATTCAGCCAGAAATCTAAATGAGTATGTTTCTAATGTCTAATGAAATGCAGTGAGGATTTTCCTAGCAATCTTGATTACACAAAATTGTCAGAACTTGTTATATTAATCACATGTATTTCCAAATTTCCTTGAGATTCTCTTATACAAAACCCCATGTGATGAATATGATGAATACTAATTAGGTTATGGAAATCTCAATCATCAAATATATCATAATCAAATGTCAAAATGTTGATACATCAAAGAATACAATGGAGATAATAACAATATTCACATATTAAGATTTGACTCGAATCTATTAAAACATTTATATTATACATTAAAGTTACCTAGTCTTCAACAATTTCTTCTAATTGTTCCATGAACACTTCACAACTTACTCGATTAATTCCGTGTTTTCTCAAAAGTTCAAGAGCGTTGTTCGCACTTATTTTTACGTGTCCTGAATTCAAGTGTCTTATACCAAATGTTTCACTGAAGAGACAAGATTTTCTTAATTTTCTGGTGAAAAAAAATCAAAGAAATTCATTTTGATTGGGACTATTTATACTTACACTTGACAATGTTTGATGAATTCCCTTTCTTCTTGCTCTACGGGAAATTTTGCGAATTGCATTTCTTCCATGTCCGCTGATACATGTTTACTACAGTAATCATTATTAAATATACCTGTATTTTATCCAGAGATTATCATAATGAGTAATACCAAACCAGTTCACATACCTGATTGAACCTTCACTGAATTTAGGTCCTTTAACAAATGCAATATATTTACAAATATGGTGCCTAAGACAAAATCCTACACCAGTATCCTTGCTTTGGAAAACAATAAGTCTATTAAATTCCTTATTCCTTTCTTCGTTTGGAGGTTCCTTTGGTGGTGTCTCGGGTGAATTCTCACGAGATACATCAGTTGATGGCTTTAAACAAGATAATATCTACGCGTCAGGGAAAAATCCAAAAGTCACGTGCATCAGAATAAAAAAAATAGATTTACACATACTTCACGTTTTACTTGAACCGAAATATTGCTTGGAACTCGTGGAATCTTTGGAGTGAACGGTTTTTTAAGTTCTAGGAAAACGATAATGATCAAGCATGAATCACCCGATAAACTAAAAACGACAAACGTTCGAAATTCGCATACCAATTTTAAGGTATGGAAGTAAATTATTTAGACTATATTGTTCTGTTATATCTATGCCAAACGCGATATCTAGATTTAATCTTTCCATTACTGGACCATAAAACCAAGTAGCTTGAGGTTGTTGCATTAAAGTTTCAACTGTCAAAACATGTACAAATGAAAAAAGAAAAAAAAAAAGTTAAGTAAATAGATAAATAAAGGGGATTGTTTTTATCAAATGTTTTTCAGCTTTCCATTTTTACCATGTGTAATAAGAGCCTCTATTTTCGGAATAAGAAAAGAAAAAGTTATTAACATGACACGTTTTAAGTGATCACAACAAGGAAAAAAAGGGTTGGCAAAACATACTTGCAAGCTTATCTCGCACATTTTCAAGAATATCGCTCTGAGTTCCGTGAATAAACTTCAAGACGACCCAAGAATCCAATTTTTCATCAGTCAGTTTTAAAAGACGGACTGGGGTCAAGTTAAGTTTTTCAATTATGTTGAAGTTTTTGTCTACCGAATGTAACCGTTCTACGCGTTGTATAAACTTCATAACATCACTTTGGCGCCAGGAGTGAATCGTTTCTATCGTGGGTACAGAGTACATTTTTACAGGCGAATATGGAGGTTTCTTTTTAATTTTATTATTGAAAGGGTTTGTCAACGATCACCGGAACATGATCGATTGACATTTTATATGCAGGGTAGATTTTCTTATTCAGGGTCCTAGCACGTTATCAATTGCAAATAACATTTTTCGGACCTAAAAGATACTAATTCAGGCAATATAACTTTCAAAAATTACCATAACTGTACTAGAGACATCATCACTAGCATCTCCAATGCATCGACTCAAATTTCATTAAATAAGGACAATACGCACGACGTGATGATATTTCAATGGAATGGCGGTGCGACCTCATGCATTCACGTGAATGCACAATTTCCAATAATTGGGAATATGCATAAAATACATAATTGCCGTTAGTTATTATATCATCATACTCTCTCAATTTTTAAAAAGTTAATTTTTTTTTCCTCACTATTTTCTTTTTCAAAATGTCCGAAGAACTTGTTAATATATTTAATATATTGCTCGGAATATCTATGGTCATTGGTCCTGTATTAGGATACTTTGACCAAATTAAAAAATTTCGGGAGACAAAGTCAAGTTCAGGATATTCCTTAGATACCACAGGAATTTTATTAGTGAGCAGTATTATTCGCGTTTACTTTTGGTAAGTCGAAGGGGGTTTTTTTCTTAATGTTATACAATTAAATTAATTTTATCACTCAAAGAAATATCTGTTTAATTTTCGAACTAGGATTGGGAAAAAGTTTGACACGGTACTTCTTTATCAAAGTCTTTTGATGATATCAGTTCAACTTGTTTTATTATATGAGTGCCTCAGATTTAGATATCCAATTATACCAACTTCAAACCGACGATGGTTTTGGAATTGGTATACATATAAATCTTATCTGATTTTTTTGATTGTTTTAGTTGGAATGTTAGGAATTTTGCAACTCATATTTTATGAACAAGAATGGTTCACTGAAACTTTGGGTTATTTGGTAAATAAATGATTTTTAAAAGTAAAGTTGAAATTTTCCCGAATCTAAATTTTTTTGTTTGATCTATAAAGTCACTCGGGATTGAAAGTACAGTGCCAATGCCTCAAGCCTATCAAAATTTTAAAAGACATTCTGTGTCAGGATTCAGGTAATTTAATAATCTTTTTCTCTTCATTTTAATTCAATTTTATATTCTTAACATTTTTTTCTTTTTTTTAAATTTAAATAAAGTAAATGGATCATTTTAACGTGGGTTGGTGGTGATTCATTCAAAACATTTTATTATATTTATACAAATGCACCACTTCAATTTATTCTCTGTGGTATCGTACAATTAAGCGTAGATTTTGTAGTTGTATTCCAAACTGTTATTTATGGTCGTAAAATGAGAGAAATTTTTGGTTTAAATGATACTAGATGGTATAACAATAGACCTTCAAGTTATAGTTCTTTAGATAACATTTAAAAAACATTTAACATTTTCATTAGATGTATTTAATTACAATTTTTGTTCGGTTTCTTGTTTTATATTTATAATGAGGTCATTTTATAAAAATTTAAACATTTTTAATGGAATTTAAAATGAATGAACGAAGTTCATCAAAAGATAATTCGTTTGTTTTTTAATGTGGCATTAAATTATATGACAAGTATAGAACAGATAAAATAAAAAGTTCGTTTCTAAATTTCACGTGAGCCGATTTTGTAAAAAATAATAAAAAAATCACATTATCAAATATTTAATAAATAAACAAATGTATTTACGCCACAAAAAAAAAAAAATGATAGATCGGATCGGGTGGGACATGTTCTGAAACATTTTATTGGTGTTGAAACAACATAATGAGTGACATCATTCGTGACGTCAGTATTGGTTGTGTAAAGATATGACTTAAAGGACAAATAGAAATGACCTCGTTGATCATTGCCAAAATTAGCTTTACCAGCTTTACCATTGTGACGATTTCACATTTTTGTATTACCGAGCTTACTAATTATTAATACGGTTTTGTCAAAATACAAACTCAGATCTAAAGTGACACAAGCAGTCCTTTCAGGTAACCACCACTTCTTCGACTCCTTTAGAGCAGTGATGTGCACTTGGAAGATTGGAAGCACCCTTTGGAAGCACCTTTGAAAGGTTTGGAAGCACAATTTATTAATAAAATTATTTGGATTGGAAGCTTCCAATCAAATTTTTTACCATTGGAAGCATAAAATGCACATCACTGCTTTAGAGTATATTCATTCCAAAAGGGCAACTGAAACGTCTCTTAGATTTTACTTGCACTTTGATAGGTAATCTTATTTTGATCCATGATCATTAAAAATGTGGTCTTTGTTCAGAAATGTGAGGTTTCTGACAGAACTATGTTGCTTAAAACTATTTTTTCTTGTAGAGTGGATCTTTGTAAAAAATGGGATACAATTTGTGGTACTTACTTTAGATGTTTATACTAATAATAGTGAAGCTGAAAAACATGCAGGAGACCTACTTGCAATTATCATAGTATTTGTGACGTAATATAATAGATTACATTCAGCCACATATTGCAAAAGGAGAAGAAAAGTTACTAAATAGGTTCAAGAGTTTTAAGAAGGAAGTAAAAAGCTTCTTGCAGGAAAGATACAATCTATTCACATTTATCCTAACTAAAGATGCCAGCCGAAACTCCCTCAAAATAATTTCGTCATATCCCTTACTATGTTTTTAATATAGTTTCGG